ATTTATTACTTTATTTCTAGAGGTACAAATATTTTGTCAATGGCTTGGACAGGAATTGCATCTGTATTACTACCAAAAGGTATGACCAGTCATAGAACTTTTCGTTTACCTCTAGACTTAGATAATATTGAAAGTGTATTTTTAGAATTTGAAACTGAAAAAAAAAATTAAGGGAAGTTGATTTAATAATATGGGACGAGGCTTCTATGATTCCGAAAAAAGGTCTAGAAATCGTTGATAGTACGTTAAAAGACTTGTGTAATACAAAACTTTGCTTTGGTAATAAATTAATAGTATTAGGAGGAGCTTTTCGATAAATCCTTCCAGTTATAAAATACGGTAATAGAACGACGATAATATAAAAAACTATTAAATCATCATTTCTATGGAAGTATTTCAAAATTCTAAGATTACAAAATAATATTCGTTCTAGTGATAAAGAATTTTCGAAATTATTGTTAAGAATTGGAGAAGGGGACATAGAAACATTTAACATTCCTTAATCCTCGATAACAGATGATGTCTGCACTAAAATATTTAATAATTACAACATTTGTTTTGGTAATAACGGAATACTAACTTCACATAATGAATGTACTTTTTTTTTAATCAATAAAATTTCAAGTAAAATAAATGGAGAGAAAAAAACTTTTTACAGCATCGATACTGCAACCTATAAAGGAGTTGATAAATCAGATAATAATATTTAAAAAATTTTCCCGTAGAAATGTTAAGCAATATTCGTAAAGGCTTGCCACCTCATGAACTTAAATTAAAAATAGGTACAATGGTAATGTTAATTCGAAATTTGAGTATATCAGACGGATTATGTAACGGTACACGATTGCGAATTACTAAATTGTTGAAGTATAACATAGAAGGTGAAATAGTTACGGGAGAAAAAATTGGTAATAAAGTTTTTATTCCTAAAATTACATTAAATACTGAAAGTACTTCATCATTACCTTTCATTTTATATAGAAAACAATTCCCATTAGTTGTAGCATTTTCTATGACTATAAATGAGTCTTAAGGTCAAAGTTTTGACAATGTGGGATTATACTTAAAATAACTTTTATTTTCTCATGGTCAATTATACGTGGCTTTATTAAGATGCAAAAATAAAAATGGAATTTTTGTTCAAGTCGATAGAGAAAACAGTTTAGAGATTGAAAATATAGTTTGAAAGAAATTTTTGAATATAATAATGTATCTAAAATTCATAACATGATTTAATTATTATTTTTTTATGTATAGGTAAAACTTATTAATTAATAATACATATCATAAATGTATATCGTGTTCATCTATTGTACCAGTTTCATCATTAATTTAAAACAAAATAGAAATGGACGTAAGTCTTCGTGGTTTCATCAGGCTTTATAAGATAACTCATAAAGTGATGCGAAACTTTCATTGTTTAAATTAATGATACTCTAAATTTAACTTAAGTTTATGTAAGTAAAAAGAAGAATTGTGTAATAAAGGACTATATAAGTGATGATGATATAATGATTATGCGCACCAATATATGTGTGTATATTATTTGGTTTCAAAATATTGTCAACTCCATATAAATTGGTTTTTAAACGTACTTAGTTGTATAAATAATGATGTTTTGCGCAACAACCCCTTATGAATCAATTTATGACTTTAAATTTCTTCTTGACGATGAAACAAATCATGGCAATAAGACAGTTTTGTCCAAAGATAGGTAAAGACGGTATGATCACGGTCAGGTTCCAAAAAAGTGGTGTGGGGAGGCGGTGGGAGCCATGAAAAAATTCGTGGGGGTCAGTGGGAGGGCCATAGGAGGTAGGTGGGATAATGTGGGATGTTTTGAGAAAAAATACTATACAATATTTCCATGTGATTTGGTAGGAATGTGGTAATAGACTTTAGCACATTGACAGGGCTGGCAAAATGCAACGTTACAAAATGCTCACAAAAAAAGTCAGCCCACCAAAAACTTTATGCTTACAAAGAAACCAAGGGATCCAGTAAATCGAATTACAATTGATTGTATTTCAGTTTAGCTGATTATAGTATTGTGCAGTAATCTGTAACTATTTGATTAAATATTCAAACATACATTGTTATTATCCCATGAAGCCATACGTGGTTGANAGCTTCGCCGTAAATTTAGCGCTCGAGCTCCCCCTTGGTGTTTCCCGATGCGCCCACCAACCCCGCACCAGCTCCTTCGAGGACGCCCGTAACTAATCGCAAAACTTGTAGGTTTGCAAGATATACATACACACGTTAAGCCGGCTGGTGAGTTTCGAAACTTTGATCGAGCCAATTCTTGACGAGTAGCTCACCCAGACCCCTCTTCATCTCGCCCATCCCTCTTCGACTCACCCCCGTAGTCCCTTATTTTTCACTTGGGAGGGATGTCGCGCGACTATATACGGCTTATCGCTCGATCAACAAACTCGATCGCGAACATCAACCCCCATACATTGGATTCTTCGTGCGCCTCTTTACAACCAACAGCTCAACTTTCTCGGCTCCGTGGGGGCACCGCTGCGGCTCTGGGTTAGTGTTTCACTTTGTAAATAGCTGTTCTTGAGGGCACCCGCAATTTATCGGCAAGTGTGCCCCGAGCAGTGACAAATGACCACCGGTACATTGTTCCGTATAGGGGCGCATATATATATATATATATATATATATATATATATATATATCGCCATCCCTACTGCTGCGGTCCAATAAAAACCAATAAAAAATTCATCGATTCTACAATAGGACTTTTCTATTTCGGTTTTTTATTGGTATTTGCCCTCGTAAATCCAGATAAAATTTGTAATGGTTAAAAGTGGATTTAGAATTTGACCAGGACATGATTAAACAAAAATAAATTGAAAAATTTATGTCCTACCATCCGGATGGCAACCTCAAAACGGGCGGACTAAAGTTTTCTTCTACAAATTCTAATAAAAATCTATAACTAACTTTTTTTCAATTTACATGTAAGAGACTTAAACCCCCCCGTTTTGGTGTTGCCATCCGGATGGTACGACATAGATGTGTCAATTTATTTTTGTTTAATCACGTCCTAGTTACAATAAACGATATAGAAAATCTATTTTTGACCATTACCGATTTTATTCGGATTTACGGGTGCAAATATCAATAAGAAACCAATAAAAAAAACCTATGGTAAAATCGATGAATTTTTTATTGGTTCTTATTGGACCGCAGCAGTGGGGGTATTTCACGTGGAACAGGTATATTTCCAATAGCTTTGGATTCAGCATGGATTCATTAAATGGATCGAGGATCAAGGCTCAATCAATTTTGCCCGAAATTTTTGATCAACAATGGATCTAGACAACTAGACACTGTCCTTACAGATGATTGATTAAATTCAGATACTGTATTATTCAGCGTGTTATATGTTGTGGAAAGAAGTATTGACATTCATATTGTACACATTATGTAATAAGTTAATCAATTAACAATGCTTATATTTACTTAACAAATAAATTTAAAAAAATTATTCTACCTGTTCACATTTAGTAGATAATATTAGGTATATCTTGAATGCACCAAAACTAGCTTTCGTTTATCAACTCGTCAGTATCGCGATCAAATTTGATATCGAAAGTAAATCCTGGTTATAATTTAATCGTTACTTTCGTAAACTTTAAAACGTTATTCATTAAATACATACAGCCAACTCAGTTTTTGCAATTATTACTTAACTTTCCGGGTAACATAACTTTATTACTTTTATTTACAATTACAGTATTCTAACTGTTAAGGAGGCTCCCTCGTGCAGAAATGCCAACCCTCGTCGTAGATCTCGAATTTGCTCACAAACTCAGGTGTACTTGGCATCACTGGCGCAAGGGAACACAGACTAACCTGTGGAAATACAATGACTTGATCAATTTTTAATAGAAATATCTCGAAACTTTTCAGGGTAACACTTTCTTTGCTATCATTTGAAGGAGGAAATTTTTTTCTACAAAATACGTGCGCTCTTATTGTGGAAACTGTTGATTTACTCGAGTTTTCAAGTTGTTTTCATCGCGTGTGCCAGCTCCACCATAAGAATACGTGTAAGAAAGCGCTACATTAAATTAATAATATCTCAAAATTTCACGGGGTAAGCTATATAAATAAATATATCATTGGATTCAGTAGACTTTTAACTATTAAATTCATCTGGTCTGTGTTCGGGAACTGTCACGAGGGAGCCTCCTTAAATGCTACACGTTATAATTTCTGATGATAGTTAACATAAACAATGTCAACTGTAGGGCGCTAACGGGGTGACATTTTCAATAGTTAATCTGTTACTGAAGGTGGCTCGATCATCACCCTAGTACTATCCGTTTGTGTGACATTAGACTATCATACCTGAAAACATTGCAGGCTCAACATGTGTAACTACAAATACGAATCCGCTTGTTTACGTGCAGAGGTTAGCCTCCAGTTTCTGACTTTTAACGTCATATTCTTTTTTTTTCGCTCGGTAATCTTGGACTTTCGTGATTTTATTAGAGAGAAGATTATTTAAACAACCTATTCCTAGTTTTTGTAACATGTGGCTCGACTTTTAGCCTAAAAAAGCTAAAACTATTGGTGAAATAATCAAAATGCCTCTAAAGCCAATGATAAAATTTCGAATTTTGAAGGTATTTTTTTTTTATTTTTATCGGCAACAGGCTCCAAAATTTGAACTGTACATCCGTTGAGTAACACTTTACCATAGATTTTAATTTTGAGTGCAATGGCACGACTTTTAAAAAGGTGATAAGCCACTTAATTCATAGCTTCATATATTCACTAAAGTATTGAAAAGATGGGGTTTTTGATGCAGTTATCTTTAATGTGGATCATGTGAGTATGGAAGAATTAATTTTCAATCAAATGAGGCTTTTTTTTGGACCTTCTCTGTAGGCAAGAATAAAATAACAGAGCGAATAAATGTTATTTTTCAAATAATGTTTATCAAAGATTGTATGGTAGTCAATAAACTAATTTACCTGTTCGACTATTTCGGCCACCTTCCCGTTCTGGACGAGCATCTGGTCCTGTATCAGACCAATCGCCTCTTAGTCTTAAGCGTCGGACTGGTTGCGAAGATCGAATGGGATAGGGCTTCTTTTTGTTCTCAGTTATAATTTTTTTTGTTAATTGATTGCTTCTTCGTTCCTGCAATCATCATTTATACATAACACAAAACTTAATTATCAAATATGGACAAAAAATACTTGATTCACTTACTTTTGTACCAAAAAGATAAAGTTGCTCACTGCTGTAACTGACAAGAACATCTTGCCCATCTGGACTATAACTTAAAGATGTAATTCTATATGAATTTCCTTCAAATTCTGGTACAGTAAAACTGCATAATGACTTTGCACTAGTTCCATGATCTGTCCAGCCTATGTATAATTGAATCAGAAAAATTACAATTTTCATGAGTATAATCAAGAATAGTATCATGTTTGAACAATTTAATTAGCAAATCAAAATTTCAGATAATTGTATATTAAGAAGTTTTACTTTTGTTTCAACGAGTTCTTAAAATTCTTTTAATAGTTCACCTGTAGCCTGAGTTCGAAGCATTCGTCTGTCAAATGTTCTTACTATACTATCGGAACATCCTATTGTGACTTGATGTGATAGTATAGGATTCACAGAAACAGCGGTTATTGCTTTCGACAACGAAATCAATACATCCTTACAAATAAAGGAAGTAAACGTTAATAAATAAACTAGGAATGATAAAAATAAGACTTAGAAGAGAAAAAAAAACTCATAAATACCTCTCTACACCTAGGAACATTACACTTTTCTTTGATCCGCAAGTCAAACCATCTGACAGTTCCATCTTCGCCGCAACTCAAAAAATTGTTGGGTTCAAACGCTACTGTAGCAATTTCATAAGTTGTTCCACTGTGACAATTAAATTGACTATGGTATGTTTCAGTCTTCTTCATTAAATCTTGAAAAAGTCGTCAAATCAGTAACATTTAAAAATTAATAAATATTTCCCATTTTTTCATCTCATACCAGTATATAAAATAGTTCCATCACCACTGCAGGAAACAATACGGTGATCTCCACCGTCAGGCAAAAATTTAGCACTAAAAATATTTGCCCGATGACTAGTTTTGTAGTCTGAAGTAACCTACAAAAAACCTGCATTATTAGTTCTATGAATAATAAAGAAAACTTAGTACTTATCGCAAACAACCATAAAATTTATGGAAAAAATTATTAAGAAATTGTAAAACGAAAAACAATCAGATTTATTTGTAAGACTTTCAATCCAGCTTTGTACAATTTAAATAAGTTTCAACTATAAATATGTTCTAGGTTTCTTATGTTTTGACTTAATGTCCTCATTGTTCAAGCTAACACATACATTTTGAATAAAAAATTTTAGTGAACTTAATCTACATGTACAAGCCAGTTCGTTTTGATATTGCATAGATAAAAATAACTTGGTCTTGAGCAATATCTATACTTTAAGCACAAGGACAGCATAGGGCAGAAAAAGTGCAAGGTTACTTGCATAAGTCATTGAAATTTATTTTGAGACTTTATTCAGGCAGATATAAGTACAACATGTTTAACCAAAATAAAGAAACTGTAACTTTTGTTTCCATCAACACATATTCACCTGATAACTGTAAGTGTTTGTAAGAACTAGATGTTGATCATCGCTGCCAGATAAAATCGTATCTCCAATGTTATTCCAGCAAATAGAGTTGACACAGCCCTTGTGAACTTCCAATCTTTTCATAGGTGCCATACGCTGAATCAGCTCTAAACTTGCTAAAAGTAGAAGTAGAAATTATAAAAAACAAGTGCAACTGATTAAAAGTGGGAAGGAAAGAGTAATTTATAATAACGGATAGAAAATTGACTCACATTTAGTGCTATGATGTAGCTTAATCCTGGTGTTCATGTTGTAGGGCTGGTTGTGTATATCATGGAAAACACTGGATTTATTCCGATGCATGGTGATAGTAAGACAAGGCCCCCCTATGTATACTGCAGCAATGGATTATACATACTTATGTATTAAAATATAAGTAGTCTGCTAAAACAGCAGAAAGAACAGCGGAAGAGCAAACCGAATTATTTATACAGCAACACGAAGAGAAAGCTCAGAAAGCTGAAATTAAAAAACAATACCTATAATTACTAAAAGCAAGTGTTTCATAAAAACAAAAAAAAACAAAAAAAACAAAACTACGTATTATGAAATTTGTAACAAAAAAAAACAACCGCAAAACTATCATTCTGCTGACGAGAGCACCATACATCCATAAATTAGACCACTAAAACGAAAATAGCAACAACAAGTAACAACTGGGAGACTTGAGAGGATTGACAGTTGACAGTACTCAGCAACGTCAATAATCATCCAAGAGCTTCTCTTTATGCCCATTTATAGTTGATCTGTAGACCAAGTGCACGAAATTTGAACTACTTGTCATGGAAATGAATGTCACGAATTTTCTATGTAACGTAAATTTCTTATACGTGTGTACAAATATATGTAACGCACAATAGAATTAATTAATAATATGAAATTGTGAGAAGATCGTCCGCTGAGGAGGGAAACAGCAGACCAGCCGTGTCTTCCAGTAGCGCTCTCCGACAACTTACCGACCACTCAAACATGACGCAAGATATCGTAAGACATAATTAAGTTGTCGGTAAGTCGTCGGAGAGCGTTACTGGAACACACCCCAGTGGTGGGTAAACGACGTAAATACATAGTGATAATAGATTTGTTCACCTTACAATCCAGGGACGGTCGGGGACAGTCTGGGCGAGTCGGAGACGAAAGTGAACAAGTGCTCTTCTCCGATCGTCCCCGATCGTCCCGGACCGTACACGATGCGCAGTTGTACATGTTAGGTTAGGTTAATGCTGTATATAGAAACAATAGTTTGTGAATAAAGAAGTGTAAATACAAAAGAGTTTGGTTACTTTTTGCATTAACCTAACCTAACGTGTACAACTGCGCATCGTGTACGGTCAGGGACGATCGGGGACGATCGGAGAAGAGCACTTGTTCACTTTCGTCTCCGACTCGCCCAGACTGTCCCCAACCGTCCCTGGATTGTAAGGTGAACAAATCTAATATAATCTCTTAGGCCGCGGGCACATGTAGAGCACCGCGTAACCGTTTGAGCCCATAAGAGTGAGAGAGAGGTAAAGTACGCGAACCTCTCTCTCACTCTCATGGGCTCAAATGGTTACGCGGTACGCGTTACGCTGTCCATGTGATCGCGGCCTTAGTCGCAGGACAGCGATGGGATATAGAGCGTTTTCGGAAATGGCTGTGTGACACGGGCACCCGAACTGTTTCTAAAAATCTGCAAAAATATCCAAAAAATTGCGCTGATTTCCTCGAATTTCCGCTACTTGTAAAACAATTGCGCGTGACATACTTCTGTAGTAATTAATTATTTGCGGGTGCTGGGTAAATTTTCAATCATCCATTACAATAAATCTATCACACGCAGCTTAATAACAAGAACGCCATTAATTTCCGCGTAACACGCAGAATAAAATTGACTCTTGAGTTGTTATAAACTATTAACAGTTATGTAGTGCGCAAATATTTATTTATTTGCGTATTACCATATCAACTATACTATATCTATGTATATGTTGAAATACGCATGCGCGAGAAATTCGCTCCAACAAAATCGTCTGCATCTGGGATGTTATGAAAGCCTATATATATATGTAGTAATACATACACTGATAGGTATACACACTATAGTGTGGACTGTTAAAAGTTTTGGAGTTTGGACTTTGGAGTGTTTGCGTTTGGACGGTTTGGAGTGTATAGTATACAAATAAAATAAATATACGGCTGTTGTCAAATTTCGGTTTTAATTAAATAATTTGTATTTATTATTGTGTCTAGCGCCAGTGAGGGCGGCATCACTCATACTGCGAACTGCGAACTGCGAGTCCTGTGTATTTTTGCCTGTAAGTCCTCTAATCGGTAGTATTAGAAAAATATATCTTGTATAACCGATATAACCCCTTTTCAGAGGACAAAGTTTGCCCACCGACTGAGCACCGCGTCGTCTCTATCTACCTATTGTTCTTGAAAAGAAAGCCAGTAAGGTATCGCTTAAGGCCTCGTAGACGACGGTCCTCCGATTTTCTTGCTCTCAGAGATCCGTACAGCGAGTTCAGCTGGCCACGTTGACGAATAGAAAATGAAGAAGTTTGGCCGCTTCTTAAGTTTGGCTGCTTCGGGCTGCTTAAGCTCATGCAGGCTGATCCCACCCTGATCGGTCGCATAATGC